ATATATGTAGCTTGAATACTTGAGCAACTCAAAATTCCTTAATTATAGAGCAATAAATAAATTTTCTATAATATGAGGTAAAACTAAATTATGTAATCCATTTAGAATCTCAAAATCTATTATCATTAATGCTAGTGAATAGTTAATCATTATCAATCCGGTGTTAGTAATAGTTGTGGATTAGAGATATCGAAATTTCATCAATAATGGCCAGTTTCTTATATATATAAAAATGTTAATTTCTACTTTAATAATACTTTAATTGTTTCTCTGAAAGAATTCTCATAATAAAAATTCCTTCTTGATTTTAACTTAACGCAGTTCCATACAAAATAATTCAATTTTTAGCCGATTTATATGAATCTTTTCTTTGCCCTTAAAAAAAGTCTAACAAATGTTGAGATTACCAACCAAATTCGCTTTAAATTTTCAAGAATCTTGGCGGTCATTTTTATATCTAATGTAATACCTTTCGCATTATAAAATCTTGTCAAATCTATTTGAGAAAAATATAAAAGAAAAATTTCAAATCCATTATGTCGAGCCATGTTGTACTGCTAGTTTAAGATTTATATTTTGCTTTCAGTCCTTCGAATTGTGTCATTCATTACAAGATACCACAAAAAATGTTATAAACTATTTTCGCACATTTCCAAAAAAAAGTTTTAATAAAAATATTCTTATACTATAGCTTTAAGTTCTAATACTATAGCTGTGCCTCAGTCCGTCCGTCTAATTGGAAAACTTCTGGAATTTTTAAGAAAAAAAAATATGAAATTTCCTATGCAAATAGATCTTAGTGGAGGCATTATTATTTCTTTTGAATAAAATATTTTTTTTTCACTCTCCCCCTACATCCATAACAGCTCTTAAAAATCATCTATAAACAATAATATATAAAATTTGTAAACAGCTTTTAGGTTTGCAACTAATGAAATTTGCGGATAAAAAAATTTATTATTAAATATTAACATTGTCTAAAAATATCACAATATTATTGACAACTTCATTATTAAAGGTGCCGAATCAGAAATTGCTTTGAAATTTTTTTTCTCAACTACAACTACAAAACAATATTTGTTATTATTTTATTTATTTATTTATTTATTTCATTGTATTTTCATATCATTATTACTCGTATTATCGTAATTTAATAAGCTAACGAATAATGTTACAAACAGCCCTATTACAATGATCCAGAGATTTTTCATTGTGGGGTTTTTCATTTCACTTTGTTTTTAATTCAATTCGATTCTCTTATAAAAACAATAGAGAAAAACTTGCATTAAATACTAAAATAATTTATAATTAAATAAAGATATTATAATTATAAGTTTATGCTTAAATGTAATTGACATGAAAAATGAATAACTAAGCTAATATAAAAGTTCAAAACTTGAAAGGTTTAATAAAATCTGTATCGAATCAATTTGATTGTAAGTTGAATGTTTTTTTTTTTTTTACAAGTTGAATACGACAATTTGGTATAGAAACAAAAATTCTGTTTGTTTTTAGTTTTTTATTCAAGTTTTTTATGGCATCTAAATTAATTTCTTTTTCAAATTTTTAAAGCTTTAGTATATCGCGAGACTTGATAAACTTAACATAATCTATTGGCGCAATGTTAATAACTTAATAAGATTTTAATTTTATAATTTTTTTTACCGGATTTTGATTAGAAAATTGTGCCTATATGTGTAACAAAGGTTGCCTTTAAATAAAAAATTCATATTATTATTTTTGTAATACCACCACCATTCAGTAAATAAGACACTTACAAACGCATTAAATGTATACAATTTAAAAATTAATTAGAATTTTGCTCGGAAGAAAATTATTGAGAATTTATCAATATGAAAATGAAATTTAAAAAGTAAGTAAAGTTGTGCTAAACTTGATTTATTAATAATTAGAATTTAAAAATTATTTTTTATAAAAGTGTTTTTAGTAATTCAGATGAAATATTAAGTACAAATAATTAAGTGGACTATACACAAAGGGCGTATACAGTATCAGAGAAAATTTAAGAATTAAATTTATTGAAAATTAAAATTTCAAACATTGCAAATATAATTTAATTTTTCATATTGAAAAAATTTCTTAAATATTAATAGAAAATGTAAAAAGAGAAAATTATAAAGAGAAAGCTTACGATTTTTAAAAATTAGAAAGTAAAAAATTATAAAAGTGAGATGACAAAAGTGTTATGTTTAGAATTAGATATGGGAGATGAATCTACTATTCTACTAAATATAAATTTAACTTTTATTGATTTATAAATATGAAAATTTTGGTTAATCACGTTCATTATAAGAAGATTAAGGTCTAGATAATTAAAAAATGTAAAAGTAAATTTTATTTAAGTAAAAAACCAAGCAAGAGATTCATAATGTCATTTACAAATACTGTAATTTAATTTAAGAAAGTTTAACATTTCGTATCCTAAGCCGTTTTTTGTTAATTTATTCTTTGTATTAAATTTTTCGGAAATTACTAAAAATTACTGGTATATTTAATCTGTAATTTTAAAATATTCAAATTTAAATTCAAATACATATATAGGGATTTTGTGTTAGATATTTTACTGAGTACAAAGCCATTTTGACATTTAAAAATTTTTTAATATTACCAATTTCAAATTATAAATAGTACGCTACTATATTCAATATAAAACTTAAGCCCTTAGTTCTTATACTCGTAATTTTTGCTTACAGAAAGAGTTTATAATGTGTAAACGGCATTTGTAATAAAATTCTTGTTATAAAAATAAGAATTTATTTTATTACAAAAAAGCTTGTAATAAAATAAGTTTGAGATTATCAAATTGAATAATTAGCAAGCAAGATAAGTAAGATAAAGAAAGACACAGGGGTTTCAAATGTTTTTTTTTTTATAAATGATAAACATGTGTTAGTATAGAAAAGTGTTGGCAAACATGTGCTTATTATCAGGTTAAAAACAATAAAATAAAAATTGCTTTGAATCTGAAACATTTCAATTGATTGGCAAGAGAAGATTAAAAAAAAAATAATTTTAGGTATAAAAAATTTATTATTTGTACACAATGATAAATATTGTAATCGAACGAAATCTTTCATGTTATTAGAAACATAAAAGGGCTATTGTCACATTTCATAGGTAAACCTTTTACTTAACACATGACTAAAACTAAATTTTTTAAAAATTTTCTAACCTTCTAAAAATATTGTATTGTTTATATTAAATAGCATTGATTATAATGGAATGCAATAATTATACGTAATAGATAATTAATTAAGATTCAATTCCATGATTCTTAGCATGAAATAAAATTTATAATTTGGGCTTTAGCTAGGGTGCATTATATAAGGTGTTTTTTAAGCCCAAATTAATCTTGAAATTGTAAAGAATAAAACAAAAAAATCAATTTAAAAGAACCTGTTTCCCGAAATCTATTTATTGTCAAGCCTTAATATCAAACTATTTCAATTTTTCACAAAGCTGTTAAAGTAAAAATTTAGGTCACATTATTAAACACAATTTTGTGATAAAACCAAACTAATCGTGTTGTCAGTCGATAACTAATGTTTGTAGGAAGTTTGGACCTAGAATGTTATTTAAAAGTAACTCTATTCTTTCTGATTTGCTGCAATCTAAAATTTTATGGAAAATTTGCATTTAACTGACCTCAAATGTTTTTGTAAGGAAAGCGTATTATGGCAGCTGGTTCGAACAATTATTATTAACACTTTCGTAAATTTTATTTAAGCAAAAAAACACCCTTTATCAAGTACGGATACTAAGAACTAATTAAAATTAATTAAAACTTATTGTAAATACATACGTAAGTGACCATGCAATTAAAATAATTATTTGTAAACTAAGGGAAAAATTCACTTATTTATAAGAAAGCAACCCATAATTTTTATATACAATATTAAAACTGAACTCAAATTTCAACTAAGATTTTTATATAAAAATTTTAATTAGTGTTGAAAGTAAAATACTAGAAATAATATTTAAACATGAGCTCTATAATAGAGTAATCATACAAATATGTCGTTATCTATAAATAAAATAAATATTCATGGAATTGTTTGTTGCAACGTTTACTTTAAATCTTAAAATATGTTGTTCCAAGACTTTTATTTCAAAAATATCATTTTCATATTCATATAGATATTCGATTTTTAATCTATTATATAGACATTTCGACTATTACAGACGGTTGAACGAGATTTAGGACAAAACTGTAAAAAATAAGTTGTTTATCAAAGCGAAATGGAATGAAACAAATTTGTTTTTCTAAAGATTAGAAATTTTATTGTGGCGAAAATTTGCGATTTAAAATTTTTAAACGATTTATTGCACTGATAAAAATAATTATGATAATCTAATTACAAAATAAAATTAATTATATTGCTCTACTATTTATAGTTTTATGAATTCGAAGGTCTAAATTGGCTAACAACCAGTTTTTGCGATTTTGATTTTTTGATATAAATTTGTATAGGTATTCAGATAATACCCAGATTTTAGTATTCACATATAGGGAATAAAAGAGCTGAAATGAATGATCAACTTCGAATGTTTACATATCCATTTTGGATATCACATATAAAGAGTAATTTTGACAACCTACGATAAGTATTCCTCCCTTAAAATCGAATAGTCGGTAGCTTTATTACGTCTTTAAAAGGTATGTATAAATAAACTTGGAAATCTAACTAAAATAGTTTTTACAATACCTGAGATTCTAAAAAAAGAAACCTTGTAAATTTTTTTAATGCAAATTTGAACTTATGATTTTTAGTTTACCGAACTGAATGCAGGAACTACGAAAGATATTTTAAGTTCGAATTTTCACAATTGAACAAATTTAATTTTTCTTCAGTTCTTACAATTTGTTTTTTAATAAAAACTCTTCCCGTACTAAAATTATTCAATTTTCAAAAAATTAGAGAATCATATTTACCTACATGGCTTCAAAAACTAATAAAATTTATTTTTTTGTATTACAGAATTCAAGACACAGATGGAGGCTTTTTCGAAAAATTTGGTTCATTATTACGTCAAAAATCATTAATAGAAGAAACAAATTTATCAACTCCATTGGCAGTATTAACAGAAGAAACTTTCGATGAAAAAGAAATACAAAATGAAAGTGAAGTAGGAGAAGAAGAAGAAGAAGAAGAAGGAAATGAAGAAGAAACTAGACAAAAATTATTTGGTAAAACTATGCGTGCTTTAAGTGGGGAAAATGAAAATGATAGTGGAACAGAAACTTTACCAGACTCGGATAGTGATATTGAAGATCCGGAAGCAAAAAAACAACAACTCATAGAAAGTTGTGACATGAATGTAAGTTAAAAAAATTATTCAATTAATCTCATCCAACAATTAAAATCTCATATTATTGATATCTACCTATACATAGGTATGTATAACAAATCTAGCCATAGAACAAATGATTTTGATTGTTCATGTAAAATTTTCCGTAAACTAAATTTCAAACGCGTAGGTTTAAATATTTTTCGAATCAAAAGCTTTATGCTCTCATTCTACAAATTTTTATTCTATATATTGGTGCATAAATGTTATGAATATCAAGGACAGAATTTGACATAATTTTCAACATTTATTTTTCATATTTTGTTTTGTAAACTTTTATTTTCTTCTTTCTTACTCATTATTTAATTTTTTGTTTTTTTTTTCTGACTTAATTAACTCATTATGCAATTAAAATTAAACAAATAAGAAGTTTAAAAAACAAAAATAAAAAATAATTTGTAAGCATAAAATTTTCACTGACAGTTTGATGAACTTGCCCCAGACATCGTTTTTGGCATATCTATTTTTAGTATTCTGACTCTTTTAATTTGTCTCTAATGAGACAAATTTTTAAAAATACATGAGAATAATTTGTTTCGGAGAATCTATACTCTCTGATGTTTTTTCTGTATTTCAGTGTTTTAATAGTTCTTATTTTCATTTTCCGTTTTGGAATTTTAGTAAAAATTTTACTTATATTTATACGCAGTACTAAAATCGGATGTGGTGTACTTAGAAAGTGTTACTTACATTTCATGTAAATGAAAAATATGATTAAAATTCGACTGATGTGAATTCTTTAGAATTAAAATTTTAAAGGGCGGTTTTTTATTGAATACTCTTTCGTTAAATTCCACAAATTTCTTACCATAACTGATTTTATTGAGACATTAAATTAGGCTTATACCCCTAATTTTCACTGAACTCAATTATTAAGAATTATAACAATGAATACTTTTAGTAGTGATTAAGAAATTGTTTTCATCTGCCATAATCAAGTATTCTATACAGTCAAAACACATATGCATATTATGTACGTGTGGAAAAATTGTGGCTGCCGTCAAATTTATAACTTGAACTTCTCTTTAAATCTAACTGATCTTTATTCGCTCAATGTTCTTCAATATTTGATCATATTGTGTAATTCTTGCTTTCGAACTTCTTACATCTAATTCAAACTTGTGACGTTGAGCACATTTGCAGTTATGCAATTTAATATTATAGACAACTTATTCTAAAAAAAACTGTAATGATTTTATGATTGTGAATTTGTTTATTAGAAAGTAATTAATTACATTGTACTTTGCCTACGTCTTATGGTGATATTTTGTTATTTCATACAATGTTCGAACATGTTGTAAGCAATGTTCAAACAACATTGTGTTAATTGTAGTGAGAAGTAAGAAATTTTTATTTTACAAGTCTTACTATGCTTATTAATCGATTTTTTTTTTTGTAAATCTTTATTCAAATTACACACAACATAATTTTTAAAATATAAAATTCTTATTTTTTCACATATATACGTCAATCATATAATACATATAGAATCTATTAAAAAATTATTATTTTTTTACCAATTATACTTGATTACATAATAAGAGAAACGATAATAAAAATATGAAAATAATTATTTTAAAAAGAGCCTATTTAATTCTTTTAAATTTTTAATATTTGAGTACATATAAAATACAAACTGATTTCAATACTACTAATAAATATCACGATTCCATTAATTTGCTGTACTTGTTCTTAGTAATATATGTATATACATTTACAATTTTAAGATCTAACAAATAAACTTTTTTGTAAATATTTGGGTTTTCATTCTGTATTAAAATGTTTTAGAATCGAACAAAATTTTCAAATAATCAAAAAATTTCAATTTTTCAATATACAAGGTGTGCAAAACGTGGCGGACATTTCTTTTATTTTTTAAATAACAGTTAGTTCCACTTTTTCAACTGATACTGTCGACTTTGAAAATTTTCGGTCAAAACCTTCTTTATTGAATTTTGTAAAATATTCGTTTGTGAATACATCAATTTCAAATTTTGTTATTTGATACTTTAATTACCGAAAAAGTGAAAGTTTGTTGTCGATTCATCCTATATAAGTAACATAACATTACCTTCATCCAAGCGCAGTAATCATAAAGATTACAACAGTTGCGTTTTTTTTATTTTAAATCTTTACCCACATGCATTTAAACTCATTAAACTCAAAGCCCTGTTGAAAAGAAATGTTCAAAATATGAAAATTTAGCAAGAGGCTTAAGCTCATTAATTAATTGCGGAAATATAAAACCACTGCAATGGAATCAAACTATTATTATTTGCTTCTTCTTTTTTATTTGTTTATTGATCATTTTTTTGTTTAAATCCTCTTTCATTCACTTGCTTTTCCGTTCTCCAAGATCTGGTCACCTTGGCGAATTTGAATTTCTAAGTAATTTTAAAGTACTTATTTTTAAAAAAATTTTAAACAAATTTTTATTTTTTTGTAATATTTAAAAAAATCTTTTATTACATGGTCTAAACTATACAGTAAATATTTTAAATAAATAGCTATTGAAATTCCATGAAAAATAATATTTTTTTGAAAAAAAAAAAAATAACAAAAAATTTCTAAAAAAATCTCCTTTTTACTTTTAACGTCATTAGGCACTACAAAGCAATTCACACGTTTCATTTATAAATTTTAGAGTTTAGAAAAAAAAAATCTATCAAAAGTCAAAAGCAGAGTGATTTTTCTTTTCAATTCAATTGAAATTTTCAATTAAATCTGTACACTTCCTGGTCCAGAAGAAGAATATTTCCACAAAAGCGGCACAATTTTTTGCGGTTGGTGGTCAAACACTTTTTGAACATTTTATATAATACATACATACATATACATTTGTATATATATTTCTACCTATTGATTATACAAATTAAAATTACGAAACAAAATAATTTATTGCTTTAATTTAAAATTTATTGAATATTACAATATATTTTTTTTCTTTCAATTATAATAAATTAGAAATCTTAGATTTTTTTTTATGTATCATGTATAGAAGGGATTAAAATATATTTAAAGTAAAAAACCATTAGCCCACTTTTACAAAATGTTACATTGACGTGTACGTAATGTAATAATAATTCTGTAATGACTTAAAATACTTAGAATGTAATAAATTTTATTTTAATGTAAAAAGCGAAATTTCAAGTAAATTACAGAAAATAATATCGCAGTAATGATTGCCTATATACAATGTGAAACTATCTATAGAAACAGAAAATCTGCTAATGTTTTTTTAATGTTTTAATTCTATTTGCATTAAATCATACAAGTCTTCTTAAATACCTACGGGATGGAAACAAAATTTTTAAAAATTGAAAAATTTAAAAAACTATAATTCAAGGAATTGACTCTAGACTCGTATCCTCAAATAGGGCTGATAAAACGCACCCATATTCTACTCTGTTTCAAATATACCATCCAGTCTCTTAGGAACGCTTTATTATGTAGTTGAAATGGCCCTTCATTCAGGTAGTAGTGTTAAAACTCTTCTGTTCTTATTCTGAACTGCAAATTTTAACTCATATCAACTTCAATTCACAAAATTTCTTTAGTTCTATATATGGAGAAAACTCAATTCCATAGTGTGTTTTACTCGTATAGGTCAAATAATATTTCCTGTCATAATGACAGTCACTGTCTAATTGCTGTTATCAATTAAACATTTTCATTACTTATATAAAAATACTAAAAAAAATCAGAGATTTAGTGTCTTTGGTAAATTACACTGGGCCACACATTAATACTGTATTAATAGGTAACCATTAAAAATAAAGATACGTTGGATGGTCATTATAAATTTTCTTTAAAACCTGATTCACAGCTCGCAAACATTTCAAGAATTTAAAGATGTGCTAGTCCTATAACGTAAAATATCCACAAAATATAAATCTCTTATTTTCAACAATACCTCATACAATCGTTCTTGTGGACCTTCGATTGTAACATTTCAAAATCAGTTTGTTTTAGGACTCTGGCTCTTTTTCATAATTAGAAAATCATAATTGGAATCGGATACAAAAATCATGTTTAAAAATCATAGGAAAAAAATTTACTGAAATTTTGAAAATTTTTTTTCTATTACTCAAAAATTTTTGTATTTGCACAACTGCATATACGAAAGTGTGAAAACACTTCTTTTTCATTTGAAAAAATCAAAAGGAAAAACAGAAATTAAAAGAAAATGTCCTCGAATAACGAATTTTTTTCTCTCATTCTTCTTATAGAGATTTTTTATTTCAAAGCGAGATAAACCAAAAAAAAACAAAAATCAAAAAATATAAAATTTATAAAAATAAAATATAATTTTCTTTTGAATTAGTTTATTTGAGCGTATTTATTATTGTATACTGTAGTATCAAAATAAAAGCGGACGAGAAATGATTCGGCGCTACTATAAAATAAAGATCAAACGATGATTATTATCGGGTGAGAAAATTCCGTGAGAAAAATTTTTTCGAAAAATAAAATAAATTTTTTTTTTTCTTGACAATTTTTTTTTTTTTTTGTTAATTTCAAAAGTGATATGATTTTAAGAATTTCAAGTTTTTTACTTATTTTTGAAATATTAAAAATAAAATGCTAATTAATTAAAAAATTATTAAAATTTGCAATCAATGATTTAAATTTTCCAATTATGGATTAAATACAGTAAATATTTTCATCCTTGCATTTATTATTTCGAAAAAATTAAATCTTATTTGGTTAACCGTTCCATAGCCCGAATATTTATTCATAGTTTAATCTTCGTAGAACACATAATTATTGTCTCTTATGCGAAATTCCGGACGAAATAAATTGAACGGAAGTCGAATACATACCCGTATATTCAGGTATATACGCACAGTATATACATATATATAATATATTTGGTGACATATATGCATATATATATGTGTTAAATATATAAATAATATTAAATTTTGACAATTCAAATCTCTTGTTACGTCATTAATAAAATTAAATTT